TCCTCCAGCCTAGAAAGCTATGGCTGAAATGTCCAGTGTGTCAGCAGAGGCAGGGTTCAGGCGGGGGAAAGATCGCCTCTGTGTGGATGCGTTTAATTATACCCAAGGAGATTCAGAGCTGAAGTCATGGTTCAAGTTCGTGGTGTGTTAGCGCTTCTGCTATAACCGAAGGAGGAAAAACAAAATCACGTGTTTTTTATGTTTTCATGGGAAGTGGCTGCATGTCCACACCCTCAGAAATGCATCATTTTATCTGTTTGTTACTGTGATGTTTTTATAAATGTCGTCAAAGTAACAAAAAACACATTTAAAAATTTGAAACAACCTCTGCTGCGCGTGTGCGTTCGTTTAGTTGTGTCACCTGTACTTTTAAACAGGTGTGAACTGATGAATATTTAAGAGCGTTTAAAGATGAAATGGAAGCGGATGGTCTTCGTCTGTAATTTAGCTGATGAAAGTGTGTGTGTGTGTGTGTGCGTGCGTGCGTGCGTGCGTGTGTGTGTGTGTGTTTACATAGTATGGCAGACGACGCGGCACGGTGCCAGCGCCTGTCGCCACGGCTCTGTGCTCAGCGGAGGCTGTCGCCATGGCATTGACTCCCTGGCACGGAGGCAGCCGTAGAGGTGTCACCGCGGGCGAAGGAGAGGGGACAGCCCTGCTGCTGTCGCTGTGGAAAGGCCACGGCCCCCCTCCGGCCACCAGCCCCCCTGCTGACATGTCACCCAAACTGAGAGCTAGCCTAATTAACGACGCCCCGCGTCCATCCTGGTCACACTCTGCCATCGCTCGTCTTTCTCTCATCTGAAATGATTTAGTTCTGTTTGTCTGACCGAATTCAGAAGTAACGTTTTCTTTCTCTCGTCCCGTCTTCCGGTGCACACGTGTCACTCTGTCTTAATAGCGGCACTGAAAATTGTGATAAACATGTTAGGCCAACGGGTACAAGAGGCCACGGTCTGTTCGCACTATTGGATTTGTCGGTCAGATAATGTGATTGGGCCTAATCAATATTGTCCAGAAAGACCTTTAGGGGCTGAAGAAGATCTCCTCTTTCAGGCATCTTCATCCCGTCTGTTTTCTCTGACTTTCATCACACTCGTCTGTCTCTTTCTCCCGGTCAGCTGGAGGTGGATGTGTAATATGAACCCGCTGAAAGGCTTGTCTAAACAGATCCTGGAAACGAAAGGGAGAGAACCCACCTGTGTGTTTATGCTTATTAGGATGGAGATTTGCATTTCCTTTCACATACACATACCTGTCCTGTCCACACCTGTGTGCATTCTCCATCTAAATATCTGTTCTCTGTCAGGCGGCTTGGGAGAAGCAGATCCAGGAGGAGGGGACCCCCCTGAGCAAATATTACAGCCAGTGGAAGAAGCTGCGAGAGAAGGAGATCCAGCTGGAGATTTCTGGCAAGGAGAGGGTAATTATCAAACCAAAGAAACCTGCCAGTAGTCGCCTTACTCAGTCATTATGAGTCACTTCTACTGTTTTTCATTCATGAATGTTCACGTTACCCAGAAGAATTACTCACAAATTTATTGTGTGATCGCGATTAAGGCTGTTAAAATGCAAGCGTGTGTACAAGCACTGCAGTTTGTTTTTTTTGTGTGTGTGTGTGTCACATAAAGATGGAGGATCTGAACCTTCCTGAGATCAAACGGAAGAAGATTGAAGAGAAGAAGTCCGAGGACAAAAAGGAGTTCAAGGGTCTGTTCCAGTCTGACAGCGACTCCGATGAAGATGACGATGCAGGACTCAAAATCAAATGTGAGCTAACCCCCTCGTGTCTGGTTTCCCCCACTTATCTGAATCCAGCCCTGCAAAGGATGCAATTTGTGGACTGGTGCAGGTTATGGTATATTTCCCAACTTGGCCTCTAGGGGGCTGCATTTTGTTACAGCAGCGTAAAAGCTTGAGAGGTGATGACAGTTCACTGTGGTTTTATGTTTTTTTCCCTGCCGTTATCCGTTTGTGCGACGTCTCCTAGATTCGACTCCACGGAGCAGATCACCTGCAGAGCAGTTTGCCGTAAGGCTCCGAGATATGAAAGCATCCACAGAAGCCGTTTCCGTGGAAATTAAAATTAAATCCCAAATCAAACTGAAGAGAAAATCTCTCGCTTATCAGAGAGTTTGGTTCTCTCTTACTCTCTCCGCCAAAAGGCGCCGTCAGCTCATTCATCCTTTAACACCCCCCCCCCGTTTGTCTCTCGTCCTCTGCGGGTCGTCCACAGGTCAACCTCGATTTTATAGCTTTACACTCGGACACGCTCCAAACAGAAAAAAACCCTCCGCAAGGTCACTGAGGAACAGAGCAGGCGGCGGCGTTTTTTTTTTTTAAATGCATCTGGACTTCATTGTGGGGAGAGTCCCCACAAACGGATGGGCAGCTGCCGGCAAGCATCCCCTCCCCTCCTCCCTCACCCCTCTTTCGTTCATCCTTCCTCAACCCCTCCACACTCACGAACCTGCCCTCCCCACCTCCACCCCAACAGGAAGTACAGGCTTGGATCCCAGCGGGGGTTCCTAATTCAAACCAGCCCACTGGAACAGCCAGCGGTGGCCTCTCTCCCTTTTTTTTCCTCCCTCTCTCTCTCTTTTTCTGGCTCTGTAGACTCCAACCAGCTGCCCCCGCATGTCCTCGCAACACGTGCGCAGACACACACACACACACACACATCTCGATGATAGCACACAAATGCACACCCACCGCCTCGCCGTCCAGTCTCGAAGAGCCAAAAGCTTTCAGGCAGCTCACCAAAGCTCTCTGCGGTCTCACACACTCCCGGAAAGAGGGGGAGTGCAAGAAGGGGCTGATGATTAAGATTGGTGTGTGTGTGCGTGTGTGTATTTGTGTGTGCGTTTGTGTGTGCGTGGTGGTAATAAGTCATCCAGGTCATTTGGGGGCAACCTCAAAGGTACAACTGAAATCTGCAAGCACCATGTGAGCAACAAAGAGTCGGAGAGGGCGAGAGCGCGTTTGCGATCTTAAATTCAGATGGGAAGTACCTGATGTTTTAATAGA